AAAATCTGTGCAATACGTTAAAATTACCAAGTGATAACCCTACGGTGGATCAAAATAGCAAGAGGGACACCTACTGGTCAGAACTCACCACACCATACACACACACACATACACACCTTGCTCTTCATACACTGTGTCATTCTGATGTTCACACAGACCACAGGTTCCATGCTTGTGCTCCTTATTACCATCCATCCCCTACATTCCTCCTCACCATTCACACACACACACACACACACACACACACACATGCATCTTCTTCTTCACCTGGTTATTTCCTTTTTGCCTTACTTCTTAGGGGAAAACTCTTTCTAACACCAGAGATATGGTTGATACTCAGGTTCTATCTTTCATACTGACTGCATGTTGTTGTTGTTGTTATGTGCCTTCGAGTCAGACCTGACTCATAGCGACCCCTCCTTGGGTTTCCAAGGCAGTATCACTACAGAAGCAGATTGCCCAACCTTCCTTCTGAGGAGTGACTGAGGGTTTGAACCGCCAGCCTTCTGGTTAGCAGTCAAGTGCCTTAGGCACTATGTTACCAGAGCTCCTCCCTACTGACTGCATAAGGATAGTTATTTATGCATCTTTGTGTCTCAAGTGCAGTAATTCAATAAATACTTTTGCAAATAATGTAAAAAATAAATGGTAAATTTTATTCACTAATGCAAGCAGAGAAGGCAATTGAATTTGTGCCATTTAAAAGCATATGATACTCCTGACTTAATCTGAAGCAGTTTAGTCTCTAAAATATGAAAGAATAATCACTCACCCTAAAGAATAAGCAGATTATCTTCATATGCTTGTACCTTCTGCGTAATCATTTTAAAAACATTACTTCACAGCCAAGAGCTCAACCCTACGAAGGTATGCATCCTTGTTAATGGAGCATACCCACACCTGATAAGCTCATCAAACAAAAGGCAGGCTTCCTCTCTTTGCACAAGCTGGTGGGTTTGAACTGCCAGCCTTCTATTTAGTAGTCAAATGCCTTAGGCACTATGCCACCAGAGCTCCCAGTATACAGATTAAGTATAGTAAAAGGATACAACCCTGACACATACCTTTCCTGATTTTAAACCACACAGTATCTCCTTGTTCTGTTTCAACAACTAATTGTTTCTTGCTCTAGGTATAATTTCCTCATGAGCACAATCAAGTGCTCTGGAATCCCATTCTTTGCAATGCTATCCATAATTTGTTATAATTAACACAGTCAAATGCGTTTGCATAGTCAATAAAACATAGGTAAACATCTTTCTGGTATTCTTTGCTTTCAGCTAAGATCCATTAGGCATCAGCAATGATATCCCTCACTTTACATTCTCTTCTGAATCCAACTTGAATTTCTGGCAGTTCCCTGTCAATGTACTGCTGCAAAGCTTTTTGAATTATTTTCAGCAAAATTTTAGTTGTGTGTGATATTAATGGTATTATTTGATAATTTCCACATTCTGTTGAGTCACCTTTCTTTGGAAAGGGGACAAATATGGATCTCTTCCAGTCAGTTGGCCAGGCAGTTGTCTTCCAAACCCCTAGTGTAAACATATGAGGCTAAGTCAGTTCTTCCAGCATTAAATCCATTTGTTGAAACATCTCAATGGGGATTTCATCAATTTCTGGAGCCCTGTTTTTCACCAACTCCTTCAGTGCAGCTTGGATTTCTTCGTTCAATACCATCAGTTCTTGATCATATACTAAGTCTTAAAATGGCTGAACACTGACTAATTCTTTTTGGTACAGTGACTCTGTGTATTCCATCTTCTTTTGATGCTTCCAACATCATTCAATATTTTGCCATAGAATACTTCAAGATTGCAACTTGAGGCTTGAATTTTTTCTTAAGTTCTTTCAGCTTGAGAAATGTCAGGTGTGTTCTTCCTTTTTAATTTTCTAACTCCGGGTCTTTGCACACTTCACTATAATATTTTGCTTTCTCTCCTTGAGCTGCCCTTTGAAATCTTCTGTTCAGATCTTATACTTCATCATTTTTACATTCAATTCAGCTACCCTCTAATCAAGAGCAAGTTTCACAGTCTCTAACTTCTGTCCAAAATCTCACTTTCCATACAGTTAATTCTGACCCCCACTGGGTCTCCAAAGCTATAAATCTTTATGGAAGCAGACCACCCCATCTTTCTTTCACAGAGCAACTGGTGGGTTCAAATCACTGACATTTTGGTTAGAAGCCAAATGCCTTAACCACTACACCACCAGAGCTCTTTCTACGTTCTCTACTGAGGATAAATTTGTTAAGGAAAACAAAATGCCGCAGAGATATGCTGCAACTTTACATCATATTTTTGTTCTGGGAAAAGTACTCAAAGAAATGCCTGAAGTACCAGGAGACCATCTATTATCAGGGCTGAGAACTTCACTGTGATCCTAAACAGACTGAATTCTGGCACAATATTAGAAGCACAGAAGCCTGTCTTGGTCTTAGACACCAAGTCTAGGAATGCAGGTCAGAATAAAAGAAATCCAAGAGGCCAAGGAAGTATGTAATACACTCTGGCAGACAAAAGCAACAGCATTTGATTGAATAAAGCTGTGTTCAGCAACTCCCCGGTTAACCAACCACCACTTATCACCATGTTTCATCTTCTAAATTGTGCTAAACAGCTGCTATTTAAAGAAGAATTTCTCTGCTATTCCCAAAGGCATCAACTGTGTAGAGGTGAAGCTCACCCTTCTTATTCTCTTCCCACAAATGCCCCAATTGATTGCTTCACACATGCAGATTTTAAAAAGAAAAAAACAGTGATGTTACTACATCTTATCAAGAGCATCCAAAACAAGGATATTTCAAAGAAACCCAGACATCCATCTTTTTTTAAAATATATATATTTTTTTTCTTGTGATTTGGGAGAAAGTTTACAGAGCAAATTAGTTTTCTATCCAACAACCAATACACATTCTGTTTTGTGATATTTACTGCATTCCCCACATTGTAATAGCATTCTTCCCACTTCCTCCCTGCACCCAGGGCTTCCCTTCTTTCTTCCTTCCCATTCCTTCCCATCCCTTCCTACCTTTCTAGCTCTATCCCTGGGCATATGCTGTCCTCTTTATTTCATATTCTTGATTGTTCTAATGTGCATACCCTCCTGATATGACTGTTTATCTTAGAGGCCTATCATTTAGGTGTCAGTTGAGTCACAGGGGTTAAGTTCACTTTCTAGCTTAAAGAGTATCTAAGGATGATAGTCTCAGAGTTCCACCAGTCTTCATCAGATATGTAAGCCTGGTCTTTTTCATGACTTTGAGTTTTTTTCCACATTTTTCCTTACTCTATCCAGGACTTCTTATTGTGATCCCTTTCAAAGTGGTTAGCAGTCGTAGCCAGGCACCATCTAGTTCTTCTGGTCTCAGGGTGTGAAAGCTGGGGTTCATGTGGTCTATTGGTCCTTCGGACTAATTATTTCCTTGTGTTATGAAGTAGAACTTAGCCATAGGGATTTTTTTGGCTATAATCTTAATGGAAGCAGATTGCCAGACCTTTTATTCCATTTCACACTACCAACCTTTAGGTTAGCATTTAAGTGTAAACTGTTTCTCCACCTAGGGCCCTTTATACACAAAGAGTACAGAAACTCAAATTCTGGTTACTTTGGTCAAAATATCTGATACCCCATAGTCATATAATTTATAGCAAGTCAAAACAACTCTCTGACCACAATATCCTCACCTCCAAAAAGAGAATGAATTCTCATTTTCACTACCTCATATGGATACTAGAAGATAAAATTGAGAGAAAAAAAAACAGCACTTGGCATATGTTTGAAAGCATTTTTCATTAAACTGTATGTTCCTGGAGGATGGAAAGGTAATTATTTCTTTTTATATGCCAATCAGTAGGCACTTATTAAACACCTGTTAAAATGATGTAAATGAAAATAATGAGAAAGCCAGAAAGTTCTTTTCAAAATACAATATTACAATGAAGAAATATTATTATATCTATAAATATGTTCATATTTAGTCTATGAATTTGCTGTATAAATTCCATAGTATACTTATCAAATACCCAAAAGAGAATATGAACTTTAAATGAATTTGGAATCTGAAGGCAAAAAGTAATAAGCATGCTTCACAAAGAGGATTGACTATACTTTTAGTTTTTTGCAAATGAACTGTTACAGAGATCAGCTCCTTTCTCCCTTTTATTTACCACTTAAAGTGATGCTTGATCATTATTGAATGACATGTTGTTGTTGTTGTTATGTGCCGTCGAGTCGGCCCCGACTCATAGCGACCCCTCCTTGGGTTTCCGAGGCAGTATCACTACGGAAGTAGGATTGCCCAACCTTCCTTCCGAGGAGTGGCTGGTGGGTTTGAACGGCCAGCCTTCTGGTTAGCAGTCAAGTGCCTTAGGCACTATGCTACCAGAGCTTAGTATACTTTAAAGTGTTTGCATTAGTGCAAGCTATTATTCTTGCTTTCAGTGAGTCAGCAGTCTATAACAAGGTCTGTAAATTGTAGCCTGTATGCTAAATTCAGCCCACTACCCACAAACTAAAAACAGTTTTCACATTTGAAAATGGTTAAGAAAAAGTATTTTTATGACATGTGAAAAGTTATGAAATTCAAGCTTCCATGTCCATATAATGCCTCGGAAACCCAAGGAAGGGTCGCTATGAGTCGGGTCCGACTCGATGGCACATAACAACAACAACAACAACATGTCCATATATACAGTTCTATTGGAACACAGCAATGCTTGTTTATTTACAATGTATTGTCTTACAGTGGCTTTCATCCTATAGCAGCAGAGTTGAGTAACTGTTGCAGAGAACTAATGACCTGCTGAGACTAAATTATTTACTATCTGACCCTTGATATAAATGATTTGTCATTCCCTGATCTATAAGGAGACAGGTAGTGATACTGGAAGTGATCAAAGAATTGAGCCCTGCTCCCCTGGACCTAAGGCTGCTATATCTTTAAAACTACCTCCCAATTCAATGGATAGTATACAAAGTACCAAAAAGTACTCTACCTGTCGTTTTCCTTGGAGGACCTGAAAATAAAAATGCAAAGTGTTTGTTAAACAGGGTTGAAGAGCAGTTACAATTGTCACATCATTCATTAAGATACAAATTCTAAGTATAGTCCTTCTGGTTTTCTTTGAAATATTTCCTTTAATAAAAATGCTCACATAGTATCAGGTATTGACAAATTCCTGTATAATGAAGTAAGTGAGAAAAGGTGGAGAAAACATTCTATTTTAAACCAATGGTTTTTACTGCTTTTAAACTATTCATATATGCTTACCCCTTCACAAAAAAACTTTTTCAGAAAATTAACAGAGGACATTAGTTGTTGTCATTGACAAAATTGGGAGCCTTCTCTTTCGGGGTTACATTGGATTAAGTTATATTTAAGGGAATCCTCATGGTGTTATGGTTAAATGCTCAGCTGCTAACTGAAATTTTAGTAGTTTGAACCCACCAGTGGCTCCACGGGAGAAAAGACGTGGCCATCTGCTTTGGTAATGATTACAGGTTTGGAAACCCTATGGGACAGTTCTCCTTTGTCCTATAGGATTGCTATGAGTTGGAATCAACTTGATGGTACATAAAAACAATGTTAGGCTGCAAATCTTAAAAAAGAAAAGTCTTATAAAAAGATTTCTTTGGTTCACTCAGAACTATTATGTTTAATGAAGACTAATGCATCCTCCAGAGTGGCCTTACATAGAGACACCAAAGTAGAACATTGATAAGCTTTAGAAGGATGTTGAGGCCATATCCAGTCTGACTCCAGGTTCCCATTAGTGTCAAACAAGAGCTATCTGACTTGTCAGCAGTAAGCTCAGGATGTGCATTCTTACCCTAGTCCAATTATGACTTCTTATATATAGCATTTCACCTTTTCCTAAGTTTCCTCACCTGAAGAAGTGGCACTAAGAATGCTAACTTACCAGATAAAGCATTGAAGTACAGCATTCAAATGAATTATTGTTCCAGTATGTATGGTAAATACAAAAGGATATTCCATTTGAAAAAAAAAGTGTCACTCAACATGTAAATGTTTAAAGCAAGCTATTTACCTAAATTCAAGCACACGAATGTCCTTATAGCCTGGTAATCCAGTAAATGCAATTTCAACCTGTTAAAAATAAAAATAAGTGTGTAGAAATATGAAAAGGTATATAGTAAATAATGCTATAAGAAAGCGAAACAAAACAAAACGCACTGCTATCAAGTAGTACCTGATTCATAGCGACCCCTCCTTGGGTTTCCAAGGTGGTATCACTACAGAAATAGATTGACCAACCTTCCTTCCAAGGAGTGTCTATTTGGTAGAAGAGTCATTCGGTTTTGTTAACCAACATTAATATTACTAATAAACAAAAACAAACCCACTGCCATTGAGTCAATTTCAACTAATGGCAACCCCCATTGAGTTTCTGAGGCAGTATATCTTTACAGGAGTAGAATACCTACAATTTATTAGGTGAATGCTATGTGCCTGGTGCTTTGCAAATATTACATATAATCCTTGCAACCATTCTGAGAGATACATATTATCTCAATTTTATAGATGAGAAAACTGAGACTCTAAGATGTCAACTAGGAGCTCTGGTAGCATAGTGCCTAAGGCACTTGACTGCTAACCAGGAGGCTGGCGGTTCAAACCCACCAGCCACTCCTCAGAAGGAAGGTTGGGCAATCCTACTTCCGTAGTGATAACTGCTTCAGAAACCCAAGGAGGGGTCGCTAGGAGTCGGGGCCGACTCGATGGCAAATAACAACAACAAGATGTCAACTAGCTTACTAGGATCACATATTTGGTAAGTGACTGATTCGGAATTATTCAAGCCCAAATCTCTCTAACCCCAAAGACCTTATTCTTCCCACTGAACTGTATCACTTCTTCCTCTTTCCCCTGCCTCATGATAAATATGTTTTAGAACTGGGGCCACAACTGGAAAAACTGTAAATTAAAAACTTATTGAGATAAAATTAATATAATATAAAGGAAGAAGGACTTTTAAAGGGAAGGAAAAGATTTTCTTTTTTCTGTTACTCAAGAGAGGCTGAAAGGACTATGAACAAGTTACTAGACCTCTCTGAGCCTCAGCTTCCTCATGTGTGAAATGGAGATGGTCCCCTACATAGCTACTGTCAGCAACCAGAAAATAGTCTATAAAGCATAACAAAGCACTATGCAAGGAAACTAATACTGTGATTATCCTTCAGCACTGTCAGTGACACTCCCAACTCTGTCCTTTCCCTCTTTCATACTTCAAGTTTGCCCGAGCCTGTTATGCCCCCTTCTCCTCTTACTCTTACTGGAAGAGTAATAGTTTCTGAATCTCATTCTCCAAGAATGTTTGCTTTCTCCCTATGTGTCTTTCAGTATTAATTAGAGAAGCTGAGGTAACAATCTGGTGACTATACTCTGAAGAAAGAGAGCTGGAGGACTCCCTTCAATTTGCAATAGACATGGTAACAGGGGCCTTCAGAGACATGACCCCTGACTCTGCTGTTCAACACAACTAAGTAGCTACTAGTAGATATTTCATCCCAGGTAAGGAGACAGGACTGCAGAGATAGGCTAGAGAAGGAGATCTTTCATATGAGGCCCAGATCCTTCATGATCCTCAGATCACCTCAAGCCAATAGCTACCTAACTCATAAAGTCCCGGCTAGAGAGATTTTTCTCTAAATCTGTAGTCATTCAGTGCAATTGTTTACCCAAACACCAAGGCTTATTAAAAGTTCCTTAGTTCAAGAGTAAAAACCAGACAGCTAGTCTAAGATACTACCTGATGCCAGGTGGCCACTGACTTGGCTGACATTTCTTCCACATACCATACAGCTTTGCAGCTTGGCCACACAGCAAGGAAAATGAATCACCTAGCCTAGGGTCCTCACCTCTAATGCTGCAATCATGTTGTTTGGCTGAAAGATGCACATTTTTATTTCCCATTTGGACAAACTGTCTAGTGAAGGAAATTAGTCCAAAGTAATGGAATTGACAAATTTGGCCAAGAAGAACCCCATTAAGAGGGAATGGAAAATAAACAGGAAGGAATAGTTTACCTATCATCAGACAGAGGGATAGATGGGAATTTAAAGGAACACAAGAAAGAGGACAAGCATGAGTCATTGTTGACTGAAAAAGCCTTGGGTACAAGTTCTATATAGAATTCTCCCAGAATGTAAAGTTTTGGGTGGATTTAATCCACAGTTCCTTTAAAATCTCTTTAAAAATATCACCAACAAGAGAATAAAGATAGGAAAGAATTTTACTTTTCGCTGGATGCCCTTCTGTGCTTTTGAACTCTGTACATGTGCACTCCTACATGTTACCACTTGAAATTTTTTCAAATTAAAAATCTCCTAAAAATTAAGGGGTGGGACAGTATGGAAAGAGTCTGTGATCAGGAAAGGAAGGACACTGGAAAGTGTACATAAGATATAGACAACAGAGAAAAATATTAGTACATGCACAATACTGCATTACTACTAACACCAAATACCAGGCTACAGATAAATGTATAGACAGGTGAGGTCAAGTGGGGGTAGGCAAACAGGAATACACCCTACACCAAGGATAGATTTTCCTGAAAATAATCTTACATTTGCACTTGTGCTACAAAATTAGCCACATACATTACAGAAGCAAAAGAAGACAGAGTTGGATTAACTTCTCAGAGACAACCAAACACCTTGAGAGAGAATCACTAGACCTGTGGACTCAGGACGATAGTGTCAGGGGCCATCATGCTCAACTGGCACAACACAGTACATGAATATCTTATTCTACAACCTACTTTGGTGAGTAGCAACTGGGGTCTTAAAAGCACAGCCACCTAAGATGCAACTACTGGTCTCCTCTCATCTGAATCAAAGAAGAGTGACAAAATCAAACTCCATGTCTCACTGCCATCAAGTCGGTTCCAACTCATGGTGACCCCTCCTTGGGTTTCTGCGATGGTATTACTATGGAAGTAGATTGCCCAATCTTCCTTCCAAGGAGTTGCTGGTGGGTATGAACCTCCAGCCTTGTAGTTAGCAACTGAAATGAAAGGCATCTGGAAACAATTAGTCTGAGGACAAGATGGACCACAAGGACCTCAGCCTTCATGACCCTGAGACCAGAAGAACTAGATGGTGCCTGGCTACCAATGCTAACCCCTCTGAAAGGGATCAAAACTGGAGGTACTGGATAGAGTGGGAGGAAAAATGTGGAATAAAATTCAAGAACACAAAAATGACCAGAAATACTCATCAGATAGAGGAGACTGGTGGAACCCCCAAGACCATGGCCCCGGATTACCCTTTGGGCCTAGAAATGGGCTCACTTCTGAACACCTACCCCAGGGCAATGCCCTTACGAAGGGCACAGGGAGTGGGTAGTCACAGGGACAGGAGAGGAGGAGAGTTTTTTATGGTTAGGGCTGGTAATCAGGGCATGAAGTCAAATGTGCATTAAAAAGAAAAAAAAAAAAAAGCTACTGAAAATTAAATCTAATGTTCCCTAAAAACAAAGAAACTACACTCTGTGTAGTTTCTCAAAGATACATATTTCTCCCAGGATTGTCAAATTAAAACCATGCCATAGAACAACACATTCTCCCACTGCTGTGTAGCACAAGCTGGAAACAGCACTTGCTTGTTAGCAGATGGCAAATGTGTGTAAGATTTTGTTCCAATGAAAGAATTCATTTTTCTTTCCATGAATTTCTCACAGAGCTTTCTGAGGGAATGACTAAGTCACTAAATCCACACCCCAGAAACCAAGTAGATGGAGAGCTTGAATCTTATCTCTGCTTTTAACTAGTGTTGTGAGCATGGGAAAATTACAACCCCGGCAAACTGTCTTGTTTACCAGAAGAACAACAAAAACAGCCCCCAAAAAATACCACCCACCTCTGAAATAAACTCTTCTACAAGGTGCTTGTGGTGGTTGCTGGAAGGATCCTGCAGTTCTTCACTGTACTGCTTCCCCGAAAGGTGGATGATGAATTCTGCAATCTGCTCAGCTGCTGGTTTGGTGGGCTCCTCTACCACAGTCTCAATCTCATTGCTAATCTGGATTTTAGACAAAAAACAACAAAATGGCTATGTTAATTCACTCAGTCAACAAATGTTACTGATTGCTTTCACATGCCAGACAGTGTGCCAAAGGCAACTTTTGATGATGACTTTTTATATAGTATTTCATTTTGGAATCAACTCAACCATAATGGGTTTGGTTTTTTTTTTGGTTTCACTTTGGAACAAATTGAGTGGACTTTAGGCTAATATTGAAATGACTACAGTCTGCCTGGCTTAGCAGAAAGTAAAAAAGTTTCTGCAAAAATTAACTGTAGGCAAGTGTGTAAACAAGAACTGACTGTATAATATAATTATCATCTAAAAACAGCCTAGAATGGTGGTATTCAAACTCTTTGATCTTAGGACTCTATTAAACTCTTAAAATTCATTGAGGAACCCAAAGAAATTTGGTTTATGCTATTTACCAAATAAAAAATTAAGAGAGAAAATTTTTTAATATTTACTTAGTAATTCATTAAAAAATAATAATTAAGGCAATAATAGAGAGAGAAGCTCTCACTCTTACTCAGTTGTGTCAGTTGAGCATGTCTTCAACTTTTCGAGGGAGCTGTTCCAGAATAAGATATGGGGAGTACCAAAGGAGCAAGGAGGCCACATCTTCTGACCTCCTCTAACCCCAAAACGGGAAGGCAGAATCACCATTAGTAGCCCAAGGCTTATCCCTGCAAGGCCAGACATGCCGTCCCCCTCCAGCCCTTAAACAACCCTGACACCAACTGTTCCTCCCACAGCACCCACCACCTCTTTCCTGGGTTCAATAATTTGCTGCAGTGGCCACACAGAACTCATAGATTATGGGGTTTATTAGGGAAGCCACAAGCTACAATTCAAATTCAGGAACACACTCAGTCTCTCTCAGCCTGCCATCTCTCAGCTGACAGTCTCTCTCAGTCTCTCTCTCAGAAGTGTGTGTCTCTCAGTGTCTCTCTCAGCAGCATGTCTCTCGAATCTCCCTCTCAGCAGCACATGTCTCTCACATCTCTCTCTCAGCAAGTGTGTGTCTCTCAGGAGTGCATTTCTCTCAGCAGCACGTCTTTCTCAGCCAGCAGTCATAGAGACACTTTCTGCCTCTAGGAGGGCTCCTGTTGAGCTTGGCGGAGTGACCAAACTAACCAATCCCAACATCAGAATTCTATACACCTGAGAGAAAGTAAACTTCCCAGAAGATTGTTTCCTGCTGGTTCAACAGAAATACCCCAGGTGGATAACTTTAGCAATCAGGAGATACCAGTTGCTCATGGCAAATTCCACCACAGAGTTTGCAAAGACTTATGGCTAGAAAAGCCACACTATGTAATTTACTACACCACAGGGGGAAAGAGAGCAATAACAATGCAATGGAGTATTATTCACAAATAAAAAAAGGAATAAAGTAGTGATACATGCCAAACATGGATGTAGAACCATAACATATTGTATGATTCCAATTCTATGAAATATCCAGAATAAGCAAGTTCTTAGAGACAAAACTTAGATGAGAGATTGCCAAGGGTTTGGGAAGGGTTGGGGAGGACTGCTAATGAATACAGGATTCCTTTTGGCCATGAGGAACCTGTTCTAAATTTAGATAGTGATGATGATTGCAAGACCCTGAGAATATACTAATAAAAGTGAACTGTACACTTTAAAAGGGTCAATTTTACAGTATAAGAATTATATTTCAATGAAGCTGTTGTAAATAATAATAATAATAAACCTATTACATGTAAAATAAATTAAAAATTCTTCAAAAGGAATAAATTAATGAAAAATGGCATTGTTAACATTTAAAAAATTTCTTTAATATCGGGTTTAACAGAAGAGAGCTAGATTCTGCATTCAATCAGTTGCACTATATTGTTTTAGTTGAAGCATGTGAAGAAAATCTGGCCACACAGATATATACTGGAGAGGAAGAATATTAATAGCCTTTTCAGATAATTATGGATATTATTTTTTCATACTACATCAAACACAACAATAGTAGTTTCTTTATGCTTAGTTGCTAAATAAAACCTGAAACCATATCAACACACTTTTTATACTCTATAACAATAAAATCCAAATCTTCAATAGTCAAAAATTCAACAATTTAAGCAATAAAATAAATACTGGATTATGACACATATAAAAAATATCTGCAAGTCCACACTAATATTAATAAATGTTTAAATAAATGAATAAGGAAAGAGAGACAACAGCTTCTTATAGAAGAATTCCAATTAATAAGTGTAGAAAGAATGAGGAAAATCACTAGTAGAACATTATAGTAATAGCTGCTGCAGGCAAGATCCACTGATGTTTATCTAATCCAAGTCCCTCAATTTTGATACTTAAGAAAAGCAAGAATTGGATAAGAGAAATGACTAGCTTATATCTCACAGTAAGCCAACTTTAATGCACCACTTTCAATCAAAGATTGAAAGAGTCAGGAACAGAATACAAGGTTTTTGTTGTTTCGGAATTTTTTTCACTCTATTATTTTTCATTGGTTGAACTATATTTCACTGTACTATTTTTATATAATCCATATAATCAGAGACCTTTAAAAGTTTAGAATGGAATCAAAGATCCCACCACCCTTCCTGATGTGTGAATGCTCTCTATAACATTCCTGACAAATGATTATTCATCTTCTATTTAAATGACTCTGACTGAGAAAGAACTCATGAATTTCAAAGGTAGATAATTATATTTCCAAAATCTCTTATAATTAGAAAGTTCTTAATATTAAATCCAAATATACCACCCTGTACCACCCACCAGGGTGCCAATTCTGTAACCTGGAATACATAAAAAAGCTGTAATTTCCAGAGAGCTCTTCAAATATATACAGACAGGTAGCATGTCTTCCCTGACTTTTCATTGGTTTCACTCCTCCAAACATCTCAACCCTTAATGTCTTCCTTAGGGTGTGGCAAACACAGGTAAGGTATGAGCAATTAAAGAAAGGGAAGGACTACCACCTCTCTTATATATTTCCACTAATGAAATATAAAATTACACTACCTTTTACTAGTTTTTTGCAGTAACTACATTGTACTGGTGATTCATACTGAGACTAATACCAATAACAACTTAAAACCAAAAAACAAACTCACTGCCATCAAGTTGCTTCCAACTCATAGCAACCCTTCCTTGGGTTTCTGAGGAGGTATCTCTACAGAAATAGATTGCCTGATCTTCCTTCTGAGGAGTGGCTGGTGGGTTTGAACTACCAGGCTTCTGGTTACCAGTCAAATGCCTTAGGCACTATGGCATATACTTAGTTAATTTTTACACAACTTCATATTTATCAATATTAAATTCCATCACACTAAATTCTGATGGAATCCCCATTTCTAAAAATACTATTAAATAAATATCCTGAGTAATCCTACTGTTACAAAACACATAAAATGCTGAATAGATTGTTTTCAATTTTTTTTTTTTTGGACACATGGGGTTTGCAAGAAAGTAAAGAAAACCACAAGAGGACAAAAACAACAGGTTGCAGGAATCCAAAGACATGATCCAGTGTTGAAGTCTTCTTTGGTATATCTATTGATCCCTTGTGACCCAGGCAATAGTGAATGCCAAACAACATAAAGAGACAAAATACAAAGCACAAGGTCTATACACACTGGAGAGCTAAATCAAGGATACCTACATAAAGCAAAATTTCTTAAAACTCAATGGACAGAGTGAACAACAAATTAGACTAAGTTGAAGGAAGAATTAGTGAAATGATGGTGACATAACCCAGAAACCAACCCAGTTATAGAAGTATCCAAAGTAAATAAGCCTACAAGATTGTAAACAGGGAACCAGAGACATCCATTGGCATTTGAGGACAACTACAAACCAAAAAGAGGGAAAAAATAGTGTAGTAACAGAACTTCTAAATGGTGAGAAGGTCAAGACAATTGCAAGATAGAATGGACTGTTCTCAACTTGTGAAGACAATTATAAATCACAGGGTAACTTCAAAGAAAAATGATAAACCTTCACATCAAAATAAAAAAGAGAACAAGCACAAATATTTAGCAAGTATGAGTCGGGTTTGACTCGACGGCACATAACAACAACAACAACAACAAAACAACAGCAGTGAAGGAAGTGATAACACGATTCATAAAGAAAATGAGCTCAGCATAGAAAATCATATGGAATAAAGAAATCACTAACACCACAAAAAAAAAACATGTAACAAAATAACAGCAACCAATTCATATTTCTCAATAATTACACAGAATGTCAATGAATTAAATGCACCACTCAGGAGATGAAGAGTTGACGATTGGATAAGAAACCATAACCCATCAATATGCTGTCTACAAGAGATACACCTCAGAGACACAGACAAAAATAGACTAAAATCAAAGGTTGGAAAAAGATATATCAATCAAATGGCAACCAAAAAAGAGCAGGAGTAGCAATATTAATTTCCGATCAAACTGACTTTAAGACAAAAACCACCATAAAAGACAATGAAGGACATTATATAATGATTAAAGGATTGATTAAACAAGAGGACATAACAATAACAAATATCTATGGATCAAATTAAAAAGCTCCAAACTATATAAATCAGACTTTAACAGAATTGAAAAGATAAATAGATGACTCCATAGTCATAGTAAAAAAAAAAAAAAAAAAAAACCTAACTCACTGCCGTTGAGTGGGATCCGACTCCTATCAACCCCTCCTTGGGTTTCCAAAGTGGTATCAATATGGAAGTAGATTGTCCAAGCTTCCTTCCAACAGTCATAGCAGGATATTTTAATACACCACTTTCAATCAAATATACATCAACTGGAAAAAAACTCAACAAAGACAGAAGAACTAAATAGTACAATCCACCAACTTGACTTTATACACATCTACAGAGCACTTCACCGAACAACAGCACAATACACATTCTTTTCCAGCACACACGGAACATTCTCCAGGATAGACCATATGTTAGGCCACAAAGCAAACCTCAATAAATTTGAAATACTGCAAAGCATTTT